AGTGACTGAGGCAAATGAGCTGGAAGTAGACCTACACTCCATACTGGAAGATGGGCAGGCTTTGGAAATGCCTCAGAAGGAATTCAGAAAAATGATTATAAAATATATCAAAACACTATACAATGGAGTTGAGAAAAATAAGGAACAAGTCAGGAAAGCACTACAGGAACAATCAAATAAAATAAGACACAGCATTGGAAACAATGTAAAACCTACAGAAAGAGGTCCAAATGATTAATAATAAAATATCAGAAATGAACAATACACTGAAAAGGCAAAGGAGTAGAACTGAAGGGTTAGAAGCCAAAACTAGAGCGCTAGAAGATAAATCTCTCAACAATACTAAGATAGAGGAGCAAACACAAAAAAAAAGGATAAAAAAAATCTAAAGAAGGCCTAAGATTCACATTGGACAACATGAAGAGGAATAACTTAAGAATTTTTGGCTTTCCAGAGCAGGAAGAATTGCACAAGTCCACAAAGGAGATAGTTGAAGAACTTCTGGAAGAAAATTTTCCTAACATCCTGAAAAGCGAAAAGATAAGCATTCAAGAAGCTCAATGAACCCCAGGAACGATAGACCCTAAAAGAAAATCACCAAGATATATTATAATCAAGCTCTCCAAAATCAAAGATAAAGACAGGATATTGAAAGCTGCTAGAGAAGAGAGAAGTGTAACATACAAAGGCAAGCAGATCAGATAAAGCTCGGATCTCTCAACAGAAACCATGCAGGCAAGAAGGCAATGGGGAGACATATATAAAACCCTGAAAGAAAACAACTGCCAACCAAGAATCCTCTACCCAGCAAAGCTGTCAATCAAGTATGATGGTGTAATCACAAGACTCCAGGATAAACAGAAGCTAAGGGATTTTGCCAAAGCCAAGCCCTGCTATGAAAAACATCCTACACAAACTTCTGTGGACTGAAAACCAACAAGAACAGACAACAACCAGAAAATTATGTACGTGGCAGCATCACCCTGAACTCAATCGACAAATGGAAGAGTCAAGAACAGAATAAAACTATAAGAACAGAGGACCTGGGAGGTCAGTCTATGATCAAAACAATTACAATGTGAAAGAAGGTAAACACAGAGGAACAGAGATCCAGGTGGTGGGAAGGTTAGGTAGATTACAGGATAAAATAGACTGTCTTAAATGGAGGGAAGAGTTAATGGAATATAAGGTAACCACAACAGTGGGGTTGGGGTGGGGGGTTTAGTTTGGGTGTTGGGGAGAGTAATACAAGAAGGGGGAGGAGGCGGAAGAACAAGATAGAAAGGGGAACACTGAGACAGGTTTGCATGTCCTAAGTGGGACACAGGTAAACAGTAATGCATGCTCAAACTTGGAACAACAGAGCTCTGTGATACAGGGATCTAGACATAGCTTGAAGAGGGGAAATAATACTAAAATGCTTGACTGTCTTATGAATATTGGTTTCCCTTGCCTACTATTTTAAAATAGACACTTGAGTGGAATAGAAAGGAATGTTGGGAAACATGATTACAGAAAACTTACAAGTCCGTCTTCAGCCTATAACTGATTAGAATACTAAAAGAGGTTCTACAACTTGCCCAGGGAAATAGGCCTCTTGCAAATCCTGAGTATAGTAACTTAGGTGGAATCCTGAGTCCCATCCAGAACCTTCTGAGGTAGGATATTCCCACTAGTAAGGACAAGCAGACCAGTTTGGAACAGCTAGAGTGACAGAAGATACATGTACTGCAAAGAAAGATTATCAGGAAAAACCCAAAACAATAATTTCAGTATGACTGGCTACTACAGAATAAGCAAGATGTTTGCCAGGAAGTCATTAGAGCAAGCAATCAAGTTCCTTCAGGACAAATTCCCCTCTAAGACTGAAACTCAAAGGGAACACAGGAACCGGCATGTAAGCTTGCTGGCGACCACACTGGTCTACTGGTGAGTGGAAGAGGAAGAAAAGCAGCAATGAAGAAATGGGGCTGAGTTCAATGATAGTCCATTGACTCCCATTGACCTGCAGATGAGAGAGAGAAAAGGAAGTGCTTGTTGGTCTAAAGTGTGGCGAGACCTGAGGACATTTGAGCCCATGCACAAGGACATAGCCGCAGAGGGCTAGAGCTGACAGTAAAGCATTCAGCTAATATAAAGTGAGGGGAGATGCACAAGAACACCCAAACTTGCAGACAGTATCCATTTGACTTAGCCTTGATGGCCTGATAATCAGAACTTGACTAGAGGAAGATTACAGATAAAGGAAACAAGGGTACATTGCTACAATCTGATGAACTTGATCTATACTCATGGAGGTAGTAACTCTGAATACTAACAGAGACGGAAGGAATCTTCACATCAAGGATCAATGCTATCCCATCTGTACAGAGGGTAGATAGGGGTGGTCAACTTAGACATTGGCTACCTAAAATTGTTGTTTTCTGCCGTGGAGTCAGTTCTGACTCATAGCAACCCTCTACAGGATTTCTGAGGCTGTAAATCTTTACGGGAGCATAACGCCTCATCTTTCTCCTGTGGAACAGCTGGTAGTTTTGAACTGCTGACCTTGCGGTTCGCAGCCCGATTCGTAACCACTACGCTACCAGAGGCACAAAGTGACTGGCTTACAAAGTTTCAAGAGGGAGTTTAGTTTAAGAATATGGGGGGAAAGAAAGAATCCCCACTGAATAGTTTTCATCTTCTCTAGAATGGTCTGGTAAAAAGAGATGGGGATTAAGATTTGTATGATTCAACAGTGAATAACTGTTATCATGACTAATTGTGACTGTCACAATTGTAAAGGTGGAAGTTTTATAACAAAAACAGGGGAGTGGTTATTCTTACAGTCCAGAAACAGAGGACCCTAGGACCATCAAGGGAGAAGAGCACAAGTAGAATGTGGGACCTTATCCAGAGAAGCAGAAATGCCAGCGATGGAGCAGAGATGGGGACATGGAGAGGGGGAGCAGCTAAGGACTCTAGATTTAGGGGAAGAGAGGGACTAAGAGCTGGTGGCCAGGAGGCAGACTTGCAGAATGTGCCCTTTGGAGTTATAAATGATTATATATGCCTGAATATTTTCTTTCTTTCTTTCTTTTTTTTTTTAAAGCTAAAGTGAATGGAGAGAAATACTGTTAACTGATGGTACATGGAGGGGATTATAATCATTGTAATGAAACAAGGTGTATGATTTGTTGAATGTAAAACTAATGATCTGCCCTGTAAACTTTAACTCAATTCACACAAAAATCCTTTTAAAAAAACAAAAAACCAGTTATAGTGTTGCAAAAACCTTACAGATAAAAACAAAACAGAAACCATACACTAAATTAAACAATGATTAAATTCTAATAATGATACTGCTTACTTAAT